CCCCCAATTTGCCCCATCTCCCCCAGTCTGCCATCTCCCCAATCTGCCCCTTTCCCAAACTGACTCCATGTGCCCCATGTCCCCTAGTCTGCCCCATCTCACCCAATCTGCGATCTCTCCAATCTGCCCCTCTCTTCCCCAGTGTGACTCCATGTCCTCCCATCTCCCCCACTCTGCCATTTCCCCCAGTCTGCTATCTCCCCAATCTGCCCCATCTCTCCCCCAATCTGACTCCATGTCCCCCCACCTCTCCCAGTCTGCCCCATCTCCCCTGCCCAGGCCCTGCAGGCAGAGGCCCTGCTCCCCCAGGGCAGCCACATGTCCGGCAAAGGGGAGGTGCTCCCTACCTGCTGGCTGAATACATGCATAAGTCACCGCAGCCTTTTCGTCACCACACAGAGGGCATCTAGATATCTTCCAGCTTGTGTGTTCCTTGCCCTGGGACTAAGACTGCAGATCAATGCTTTTGCTTGTTTTTGGCGATAGGGTCTTGCCCTGTTGCCCAGGCCAGAGTGCAGTGGCACCATCATAGCTCACTGCAGCCTTAACCTCCTGGGCTCAAGTGATTCTCCCACCTCGGCCTCCCAAGTAGCTGGGACTACAGGAGTGCACCACCATGTTCAGCTAATTTTTTAACCTTTTGTAGAGATGGGGTCTCACCATGTTGCCTAGGCTGGTCAGCAACTCCTGGGCCCAAGCTATCCTCCCAAAGTGCTGGGATTACTGGCGCACCACCCAGCCTAATTTTTAATGTTTTTGTAGAGATGGGATCTCACTATGTTGCCTGGCATAGGAGGCTGGAACTCCTAGGCTCTTGCGATTCTCCTGCCTCAGCTTCCCAAAGCTCTGGGATTACAAGTGTGCGCCATGGCGCCTGCCTTGCAGATCAATTTTATGGAGCAAGGAAGCCGAACTGGCCACCCTAGCACTGTCAGCCCAGAGGCTGGGCCGGTTCCAGGAGGAGGAGGGACTTAGACTCCCTCCCTAGGCGTCAGCAGGGGCACCAGGGCCCGGGACACACCGTGCCCTGGCTGCGGGGCCTGCCCTGGAGTCCACCCCCGCCTGGGGAGAGGGTGTGGGCACCCCAGTCCCCCACTGGATAAGGATCTGCTAGGCAGGAGCCAGGCCTGGGGCTGGCTGTGTTTTCCTTGTGGCCGTTTCACCACCTCTGGGCGTGACCTCACGCAGAGGCCTGCTCTGTGGTGGCAGCAGGGAAGGCAAGGCCGGACTGGAGGCCTCCCGGAGCTGGTGGACACGAGGAGGCCAGGAAGGGACAGCCTGCCTGCTGCCCGTGGCCCCTGTGCTGCGGTGTTCCTGTTTAGTGGCTGCGCTGCAGGCATCCACACCCCACTTTCACAGAGAAGGATGCACACTCAGTCACTGGTTTCACAGGAGGGACTTAATTCTGGACCTTCTGAGCCCCAGTCGCCTTGTGTGCTGACTCCCCATCTTGTCCCCAGCATGAACGCGCCATCCCACACAGCCACCGCCTCCATGAATGCGCCAACCCATGCAACTACCCACCTCCACCAACGCACCAACCTACACAGCCACCTGTCTCTAGGAATGCGCCAACCCTGTGCATCCACCCATCTCTAGGAATGCACCAACCCGCACAGCCATCCACCTCCATGAATGTGCCAATCCTCACAGCCACCCCCTCCAGAAACACACTAACCTGCATAGCCGCCCCCTCCACGAACACGCCCACCCGCACAGCCGCCCCCTGCACGAACACGCCCACCCACACAGCCGCCCCCTGCACGAACACGCCCACCCGCACAGCCGCCCCCTCCATGAACACGCCCACCTGCACAGCTGCCCCTTCCACACCTGAGCCCGGGGACCAGGTTTCTTCCCCCTGTAGTTCTGTGCCGGTGGCTCTGGGCTACTTTGGGAGACAGGAACAAAGGAGGCGGGGGAGAAGCTGGCCTGTGAGGGTTGGTGTGTTCGTGGAGGAGGCGGACGTGCGGGTGGGCGTGTTCGTGAAGGTGGCGCAGTCCCCAGGGCTGGGCCACCAGCCCCACAGGGAGGGGGACGTGGTGCTGGCTGAGGACCTGTGGCCACAAGGGCTTCATCCACTCCATCCACTCCATCTCAGCTCCCAACCACCCTGCTCTTTAAACTTCACAGGGGGAGAAACCGAGCCCAGCAAAGGTGGACATGGGCCAGCTGCTGCGCCTTCCTAAGCTCTGTCCAGTGACCTGTCTGTGGGGCTGTGCTGTCCCCTGACCCATGAAGCCACACACAGGCTTTAGGCGTTGGGCAGGTGGGATTCTCCCTGACAGGTGCCACCGTGCCTGCTTTCCTGCACCACACCCCTGGGCCCCAACACAGAGCAGCAAGTGCAGGGCTGCTTACTGCACCCTGCATATAACCACCTCCACAAATGTGCCAGCCCATGGATCCACCCGCCTCCACAAAGGCGCTGGCCCACGCATCCACCCATCTCCACAAACGCACCAGCGCATGCATCCACCCGCCTCCACAAACGTGCTGGCCCACGCATCCACCTGTCTCCACAAATGCGCCGGCCCACGCATGCACCCATGCTTAGCTAAGGGTCCCCTGTACCTAGTACAGTTTCAAGGGTGGAGTAGTTAGGGTGGGGCCAGGAGGGAACCTCCCGCCACCTGAACGTGGCCTTGGCTTGAAGCAGCAGTGGCCAGTAGTCCACAATGAGACCCTAGAGGCCCCTCCCACAACAGCTCGGCAAGTCCTGGTCAGAAGGAGGGGGCCAAGAGGGAAGGAAGGCACCCCAGATACCTGGTGAGCTGCTTCCGTGTATGGGATGCTGTTCTACATGCTGCCTATCCAGCACAGAACAAGACAAAGACATGGGCCCACTGAGGCTATGCTGAGGCTGCAGTACTGAGGAGAAAAATTAAAGGCAGGCTTAGCTTCTGAGATTTAAAATGGTTGGGGAGGAAGGAGGTCAGGGAAACAGCGCCGCAGGCAGCACCTGGGCAGAGACATGCAGGGGGGCACAGTGGTCCAGGCAGAGGGACGGCCGGCAAGTACCACCCAGGAAGGCGCTGAGGGTAGGGGGTGGCTGCGGGGATGTGCTGAGGGGGTGACAGCAACCTGGTTACCAAACCTTACCCAGGTTATAAGAACTAGCCTTCGAAACCAGGTACCCTGAGAGCATATGGAGCCTTCTGAATCATTCAAGAAAGACGTAACTATGTCTGACACATTCTTTTAATTAGCCATCCTGCTGTGGTGGCTTCCCAGACATGCCATGCCCCAGAGAATGCAGGGTAAATGGACGCCAGAGCCAGAGACCTGCTCCTGGCCCAGGGGGCTGTCCTAATACATCCCTTGCACTCGGCCCGCCTGGAAATAAAGTCTCTGAGATGGCACCTGGGGCCAGGGGCAAAGCCCCTGCAGGTGGGTCTGCTGTTGGCCAGAGCAGAGGAGGTGCCATGGAAGGACTCATCAAGGCTCCCATCTGCCAACTCACTTCTATGCCATCACAGGAATCCACTGCGGGGGTGTGAGGGCGGGGAGGCCCTGGAAAGCAGAGGCCCTGGCCCTCAGAGCCCACAGCCACCCGTGCACACCGTCAGGCACCCCCAGGTGACAGTGGTGCCCATGGGCTGCTACAGTCCGCCCATGAGAGGCAGGGGCAGGAATACCACACCAGCAGGTCCCTGAGAGAAAACCCTGGTGGGAGTTGCCAAGTGCAATGCCAGGGTGCTGCATGTGCGTGGGCAGTGCCTCTGCCCCAAGCATTCTTCCTCCAATCACAGTTTGCCCAATCACACTGTTTGCCTGACCAATCCCGTACACTCCTCACCACCCTGCTGGGATCCCCCCTCTGCAGGAAACCTGTGCGCCCGCAGTGCCAGCATGGGTCATGGAGAGTCTCAGCAAGTCCATTACAGACGGAAAGAAGAGTTACCACTAACTCAATACGAGGGAACACAGCCCAACTCAGTCCATGAAGCTAGTATAACCCTGATACCAAAACCAGATAAAAACCAAAGTACGGAGTAATATCCTTTAGCAATATGGATGCCAACATCCTACTCAGCAGCACGTAAAAAGAATCACATACCATGACCAAGCGGAGTTCACTCCAGAGGCAGAAGGCTGGCTCAGTATTTAAAAATCCATCAATATAATCCAGCCTATCAACAGGCTACAGAAGAAATACCACGTGGTCACAACAATGGATGCAGAGGGGCATCTGGCAAGGGACGGCCAGAGGGACGTCAAGACCCATGCGTGGTGAACACCCAGGAAATCGGTAACGGAGGTGCCTTCTGAGTGAGGTGAAGAGCATCCACAGACGCCCCTTTGAGGCCAGGAGCAGGGCAAGGGTGTCTACCCTCCCCATGGCTGCCCAACATCTGGCTGGCCAGTGCA